TTCAGGGCCTCCTTCATGATTTCAATGAACTGTTGCCGCCTGCTGCAGATCCTGCTAAAGAACTTGAGCAACGCAACACGTTCTTCATGCTCATGGCTCTTTATGGTTTGCCCCCGGCGTATTCTGTCAACCGGGATCAGATCTTGGGCTCTACTACTGTTCCATCGCTTGACTCTGTTTGGTCTACGTTGCTTCGCATTCCACCTAAGACTTCTATGGAGCCTGCAGTATCTGCTCCCTCTTCAATTGACCCATCTGCCCTTGTCTCCAAGGGTTTTGCACGTGGACGCAAACCCTCTACGAAACGCTTTCTCTGCACTCATTGCAAAAAGTCGAGCCATACTATTGATCGTTGTTGGGATCTTCATGGTCGCCCTCCTCGCTCCGCTCATTTTGCTCAGACTACTATTCCTGCCTCGGACTCTGCCTTGATTGCTGGATCACAGCCACCTCCTGGTACCACTGCCTCTAGTGCACACACGGGTAATTCCTTTGCTGGTGTTTCGCACTCGCCCTCTCTTGGTCCATGGATTCTTGATTCTGGTGCATCTGACCATATTTCTGGTAATAAGTCTTTATTTACCTCTCTCTGTACGTCTGGTCCCTTGCCCAGTATCACTATGGCTAATGGGTCACTAGTTCAGTCCCAAGGGATTGGCACTGTTCTCCTTTTTCCTTCTATTCTCATTGAGAATGTGCTTTATGTTCCTCATTCTCCTTTCAACCTTATTTCCATTAGTCGCTTGACTCAATCCCTTGACTGTACTATTTCTTTCACTAAAGAGTCTGTCATTTTGCAGGATCGGAGCTCGAGGAGGACACTTGGCGTCGGATCTGAGTCCAATGGCCTTTATCAGCTTTCAACTTCTGTTCCAGTGTGCTATGTTGTGGATTCTCCGCTTACTATCCACGCTCAGTTGGGTCATCCCAATCTTGCTAAGCTCCAGAAGATGGTCCCACGTTTCTCAAATTTATCTAGTTTGTCTTGTGAGTCGTGTCAGTTAGGGAAGCACACTCGTAGTTCGTTTCCCGATCGTGTCAGTCGTCGGTCTTCGTCTCCTTTTGCTTTAGTTCATTCAGATATTTGGGGTCCTAGTCGTACCGTTTCCACTATGGGGTACAGATATTTTGTAACTTTCATGATGATTATTCTCGATGTACTTGGTTATTTTTAATGAAAAATTGGTCTGAATTGTTTTCTATTTTTAACAAGTTCTTTAATGAAATCCTTACTCAATTTGGTGTTTCGATTCACATTTTTCGAAGTGACAATGCTCGTGAATATTTGTCTCATCAGTTTCAAACCTTCTTTGCATCTCACGGCATCCTTCACCAGACATCATATTCACACACCCCTCAACAGAATGGGGTTGCTGAACGCAAGAACCGTCACCTAATTGAGACTACTCGGAAACTTTTGTTACATGGTCATATCCCATTCCAGTATTGGGGCGATGCTGTCCTCACAGCTTGTTATCTCATTAATCGGATGCCTTCCTCCGTACTTCATAATCAGGTACCACATTCTGTGTTGTTTCCCCATCAACCTTTGTACCCACTCACTCCTCACATCTTTGGTTCTACTTGTTTTGTCCACAATCTCAGTCCTGGCCTTGACAAGTTATCTGCTAAGTCACATAAATGTATTTTCCTGGGTTACCCTCGCTCACAAAAGGGTTATCGTTGTTATTCTCCTAGTCTTCGTCGTTACTTTGTCTCGGCGGATGTTACATTCTTTGAGTCTATTCCATTCTTTGACTCCTCCTCCCATCCCAGTGATTCTGTTGCTACTCAGCTACCTTTACCACCTGTTTCAGTTCACTATATACCTTCACCATCTCCTTCTTTAGATGTCCCCGTCCCTGTTCCCGCCCCTGTTCCCCCCCTCCAGGTCTATCATCGTCGGCAACGTCCCCCTGTTCCCCAGGACCCTGCCCCCCCCGAGTCTGCCCCTATTGTTACTGAGGCTCCTGTGGACTCACTTCCGTCATCATCTCCTCCGGCAGCTCCGATCCTTCCGTCTGACATTGATGTGCCCATTGCACTCCGGAAAGGTACTCGTGATTCTCGTCCCCCTCCCAGGTATTTAATAAATTTGAGTTATCATCGTCTTTCACCATCCCATTTTGCTTGCCTCTCTTCTCTTTCTTCTGTATCTGTTCCTAAAACTACAGGTGAGGCGTTATCACATTCTGGTTGGCGACAGGCCATGATTGATGAGATGAGTGCACTTCAGAGTAGTGGTACCTGGGATCTGGTTTCCCTTCCCTCTGGGAAGTCTGTTGTTGGTTGTCGATGGATATACACGGTTAAAGTTGGTCCGGATGGTCAGGTGGACCGTCTTAAGGCCCGCTTGGTGGCTAAAGGTTATACTCAGATATTTGGCCTTGACTATGGTGACACATTTTCTCCCGTGGCGAAAATGACTTCTGTTCGCCTCTTTATTACTATGGCAGCTATTCATCACTGGCCTATGTATCAGCTGGACATAAAGAATGCTTTCCTCCATGGTGATCTGCGGGAAGAGGTTTATATGGAGCAACCTCCTGGGTTTGTTGCTCAGGGGGAGTCTAACCTAGTTTGTCGTCTCCGAAGATCCTTGTATGGTCTAAAGCAGTCTCCCCGGGCTTGGTTTGGAAGGTTTAGCACTGTTGTACAGCAGTTTGACATGACTCGAAGTGAGGCTGATCACTCAGTCTTTTACAGACACTTTGATTCAGGTTCTATTTATTTGGTAGTATATGTTGATGATATCGTCATTACAGGTAATGATACTCATGGCATAACTCAGATAAAACAACATTTGTGCCATCATTTTCAAACAAAGGACCTTGGAAGACTCCGATATTTCTTAGGGATAGAAGTGGCCCAATCCAAAGATGGCATTGTACTATCACAGAGAAAATATGCTATGGATATTCTTGAGGAAACAACATTGTTAAATGCTAAGCCCGTTGATACTCCTATGGATCCAAATGTCAAGCTTTTACCAAATCAGGGGGAGCTATTTTCTGATCCAGAAAGGTATAGAAGATTGGTTGGGAAACTGAACTATCTCACAGTTACTCGACCAGACATTTCCTTTGCAGTCAGTGTAGTAAGTCAGTTCTTGAATTCTCCCTGTGAAGATCACTGGAATGCAGTAATCCGTATCCTCAAGTACATCAAGACTGCTCCTGGCAAAGGTCTTCTCTATGAAAACAAAGGTCATACCAGAGTTGTAGGATACTCAGATGCTGATTGGGCAGGTTCTCCTATTGATAGAAGATCCACTTCTGGGTATTGTGTATTCGTTGGAGATAACTTGATTTCCTGGAGAAGTAAGAAGCAAAGTGTAGTTGCTAGATCAAGTGCTGAAGCAGAATATCGCTCCATGGCCACAGCTACCTGTGAACTCATTTGGTTAAAACAGCTACTGAAGGAACTCAAGTTTGGAGACACTGGCCCAACATCTCTCATTTGTGATAATCAAGCTGCTTTGCATATTGCTTCAAATCCAGTGTTTCATGAAAGGACTAAGCACATTGAGATAGATTGTCATTTCCTTAGGGAAAAAGTTCTCTCAGGAGATATAGTCACTCGTTTTGTCAACTCAAATGATCAATTAGCTGATGTATTTACTAAGTCTTTGAGAGGACCTAGAATAGACCAGATATGTAACAAGCTTGGTGCATACGATCTATATGCTCCAGCTTGAGGGGGAGTGTTGCTGTACATAGTATAGAAGTCCCACATTGAGTGTACATAGTATAGAAGTCCCACATCGAGTGTGTCTCTTTGTATTCTTCAATTGGTTTGCTATATAATAGCACCAATGTTGTGTAGTTCAATATAACAAGGATTACAATGAATACCTCTTGTCTCTTGATAATTAACAGATACCACTGTTGGGAACTCGGTTCCCTCAAGCTCAGCTAAACAGCCTTTGCGCGGAAGTCAATCAGCAAGATCCTGATATCGGATCTCGACAATACCTCAGCTTGAACTTCACCAGGTCGGGCAGCGCAGCGGAAAATCAAAACAAAAAACGGGAGAGAAAGAGAAGAACACAAACAGATTTTAACGTGGGAAAACTTTCTCCAATGAAGAAGTAAAAACCCACGGGACCTAGTCCAGATCAAAAATCCACTATGAAAATAATGGTTACAAAGAATCAAGATTCACCAATATGGTGGTTAACATAACCTCTCCAACAATGGTGATAGTCAAACTCCCCTAGAGATGTTTCATTCAAACTCTCTCTAGAGATCTCTCAAATACAAAGCATAAAGCTTTGCTCAAACAATTTTCTCTCAAATTTCTAATCTCTCTCTTAATCTCTAACCTATCCTCCACCCACAACTAATGAATATATAGAGGAGGTGAGATCTAAGGTTTAGGATTTTTAGGAAACCCCTCAATGGGCTTGGGCTTAGCATTGAAGGAGGAAGCCCAACACATTTATTTGATATATAAGTTCTTTTACGGCTATTAACCACTCAGTGAAAACAATAATCATTCATTGACAAGTAATGACCATTTACAAAAATATTTCCGGAGGGTATTTTTTTCTACTACGTAAAGTATAATGGCCCTTTTGTCTAATGTGGACTGTGTTCCTTCTTAATAATTTAAACTTTTTATGTTCTTTACGATTAAATTATCTTTCTGAGTAGTCCTTGCCATTAATTTTCCCTATTTTTATTCATATGGAAGTTATTGTTTACAACAGCAACCTTGACCACCAACTGTATGTATGTCATCAATGAAGACATCAAAATGGGAAATGAAATTTATCCTTGATATTTTGTAACATGAGAATCTTATCCATGTTAGGACATGATTTTTCTTGCATTAAGGATGGTGATTGAGATAGAGAACAAATACTACATGATAGTATCAGGAAACTTATGTGTGTAATACACAGTTTAGTTCAATATGTGCAAATTCAACTGTATAAGTCTTGTATATAAAGGAGATCCATTCAATTTCATGGTTGTATTATATGTTGTGTTTAACAGATACCAAAAGACATTTTATTAGAAGTGCTTGGACCTTCCAAAGTTTTCAAGGAAGTTATCAAGAAAATAATTAACTCAACCGTAGCTGAATATGTGGAGAAGGTATTTTTTCATATGCTGAATATATAGTATTTCCTAATTTTGTTGCTTCCAGGAAATTTCATGGCTAAGTTTTAATTCATTCTATGTCCCTTTATAAATAAGGGAAAAATGCATAAATACACCTTGAACGTTACCTCAGTTTCAAGTAGCCTCCTTGAACTTTTAGGTCGCAGTGAAAGCTTTTTAGGCTTTCTAAAATATGCAAATAGACCCTCGTGTCCAAAAATTAAGCTATAATCGGTTATCACATGTGTTGATTAATATGCATGAAAATATCTGATTTGTCCATTTTTTTTAAAAAAATTATCTCCTTCATTTATTTTCAATTTCCAAAAAAAAAAAATATTGAATAATTTTAAAAGAAAATAAATTAAAATTAGAAAATATTATTAAAAAGGAAAAAGTATGTATCATTTTAAAGGAAGTAAAATTGTGTCATTTTAAGTGAGAGAAAGAGATAAGCAAAGACGGAGAGAGAGTGGACAAAAAAAATAAAGATGTGGGTCTCACTTCTTTGTGAGAGTGAAATGACACAAATTGTGTCATTTAAAAGGACAAACACTTTTCCTTATTAAAAAATTTCAAAATAATATGGATAATTTTGAGATTATCATGTGTATTAATCAACAAGTAGAAGTCATATGATGAATAGTTTTTGTTAAACTTATGTATGGGAGATTTATCTACAAGATTCGAAAAGTTTAAGGACCCAATATACCATGGAGACTTATGCCTTGCTTGACGATTGAGATAATAAACTGCCATAGCTCTCAACCAATGCAAACAAAATTTCAGGGTCAAGTTCCTAACAAAGCAAAACTCTTTCATGTTCAAGAGGACTATGACATGGATCATTAGACTAATACTTTTTGATGCCCAGGATCCTCATGTGTATGCAAGTGCAAAGCGTACTGGTATCTTCATGGGGTTTCTCTTGCATGGACTTAAAGAACTAAAGCTTTTAGAAAGAAAAGAAGTTTAAAAAGAAGATGGGGTGTCGACCCACTTATTGTGGTTTGTCGTTTGGCCCATTGATGGATGTATCTTTTGTAAAGGGTTTTGGACTCCTTCGTACCTTTCTCAACAGTGGTATTTGGAGAGAAAAGACTTGGCTGCGTTGGGTATTTGGAGATTGTGATATTTCAAGGTCTTCGCAGAAAGCTAGTATGACCCTAATATTTTGAAGAGAAAAGACTTCTGCAGAAGTTGCCTTTAGGTAAGGGCATGATGTTGGGCTTCACACTTGAGGGGAGAATGTTGGAAATAATTAAGTGTGACTAGTGATGAAGTTTCAAACCGATTGGAAATGTTCCAAGTGAGTACATATAACTGCAAAAAAAACTCATACAACTTTAGCCTTAAGGTTTTGGGTTGAGATGTGATGTTGGCTCACTTATTGTGGTTTGTTGCTTGACGCATTGATGAATGTATCCTTTGTAAAGGGTTTTGGGTTCCCCGTACCATTCTTAACTAGCATACATTTTGGAAAGGAGAGTCGATACATTCAAGCTTAAGTCTTACATCCATCAGCTTTAGTATTTATAGCTGAGGTCTGATTGCATGACCATAAAAATGGATACTCATTCAAGCTTTAGTATTTATCCATCAGCTTTAAATTAGTGTTTGGTTTGGCAGTATGCAATGCAATATATGCCAAATCTATGCTGCCATGAATTTGAAATTTAAAATTTGTACATTATATGTCATGTTTTCTTTCAAATATTTTTGTGGAGGGCGAATCTTTTAACTCTAGTGTAAGATTAAGAAATCTTATTTCGTATTTCAGTCGTTTATTTCCATATATCTAACAGTTATGGTTTATTTGAAAATTATAATTAATTAATAGATATAAGTTGTTAGATGGACAGTAACTATTGGCTAATATGAAGAGTAAGACTTATTAATCTTACATTAGATTCAAAAGATCCTCCCTCATTTTTGTTTTTGTTATATAGAAACTTCAAACTGTTGCTTTTCTATTTCTCTTATTACCAATATTTTAGGGAAAAATTCATTGCAGGAGCGTTTGATGGTTACCAAGGACCTGAGAGTTGAGCAAAGCTTTGAAGACCTTGAATCTACTTTTGAGGCGGGAGAAACATTCAGCTTTGATGTTGTAGTTCAGATTCAAAAATAGAATTGAATCACATTTGATCAAATTTTATGAGACTTTGCTCTTTCAATGTGATAATTTCTCAATGCCAAATATAACTCTTATTACAAGAAAGTATTACTATCTCTACAATTTCATCTAAAACAATGTTTACTCCTAGTGCTGGTAATCACCCCTTTTTCTCGAGTATCGATTATGAAAAGCAAAAATATCTCTTAAACAAGCTCTTAACTCGTGAATTCTAGCAAGTAAATTTTAAGGTTTCTCTTTCTGAATACCATTCATGGGCTAATATAGAAACTGAATAGCCATTTTTTATATTTTTTTACATAAATGGCCACCTTTTTTTTGGGGAAAATGTAAATTTGTATTAACCCAAATGATATACAAAATAGACGGGCATACCCTGCTACAAGAACAACAAAATAATAGGTGTACAAATCGGATACACCACGTGCATGTGGCTAAAATAGATGCATCAAGTGCAAGTTGCTTAAACAAATACACCTAGAGTAAGTGGCTAATACAGATGTATCAAGTGCGAGTGCTTAAAAACAAAAAACATGATCTTGTTAATTGCATCATTTACAAAAAAGGGGGGAATTCTCAAAAATCAACAAATTCCTTGTTGTCCAAATGTTGTAAACAATGGTAGCCAAAGCCAAGCATTGCAGCTTTCCCAAAAGGCTAGAGGCAGCTCTCCCATGTGTTAGTCTGTTGATGGTTTCCTGCAATGAGATGGTGTGCCTATTGAATGGAAGCTAGTTTCTGATAGTTGCCCAAATTCGTCTTGAGATGCTGCAAGAGAAAAATAAATGATCATGGTTCTCTGCCTAAGTGTTGTAAAGAGGACAGAGGACACCTCTGTTAAGGAAATCAGCCTTGTCTAGAGTAAGCAATCTCTTTTTCGTTGCAAGCCAGAGAATAAATGAAAATTTAGGGGGAATGGCTGCGTTCCAAACAACAGAAAACCAGTGAACCTTTGGTTTGTCAGTGTGGATGTAGTCATATGCATTGCCTGCTATAAGTTGGTCATTTTGAACCCAAGAGTTCAATTTCTGAATTGTTGCTTCAACCAGCCCCTCTCTGTGTATGATCAGATCACGAATTGCTTCAATTCTCTTGAGAAGGATAGAGTTGGAACAATTGCTGTGGAAGTCCCAAACAGTTCCACCTTTGAAATAAAAGTGGTGCACCCAACGTACCCAAAGAGAATCCTTCTTAGAGTGCAAATCCCAAAGGATATGAGAAATGAGAGCTTGGTTCCAATCTTTAAGGCAAAATAGACCCAGGCCACCCTCTTTCTTTGGGGAACAGACTTCCTTCCACGCAACTAATGGCTTCTTTTTGCCCAAGTCAGATTTTCCCTACAAAAAGTTTCTGCAATAGGCATTTATTCTATCGAGGACATAGCAATGCAGAGGGAAAATACCCATCCAGAAATTAACAGTCCCTTAGATAACTGTATGAATAAGTTCTAGTTTGCTAGCATACGAAAGAGTCTTGCAATTCCATCCTTGAATAAGCCCAAAAATTTGGGATAACAGAGGGGCACAGTGACAAACATTTAGCCTGGAAGACATAAGGGGAACTCCCAAGTAACGGAAATGGAAGTCACTAGAGTTAAATCCAGTAAGTTCAAGGAGACCATTGAGAACAATGGGGTCAATACCTGCTGCATAGATGGCAGATTTCTCAGTGCTAACTGTTAGACGAGAGACAACACAAAAATTCTGGAGTTTCTCAAATATGGCAGTGACTAATGAAAGATCTCCTCTAGAGAAAAGCATAATGTCATCTGCAAAAGCAAGATGAGTTAATTGAACAACAAAGCAAGAGGGGTGAAACTTGAAGGCAGATATGTCCTATAAACTCTTGAGATCTCTAGAAAAATATTCCAAGCAAAGCACAAAGAGATAAGGAGAGAACCCACGATAGCCCTTAAAGTGCCTGTGGATGGAATCATTAACCACCGCACTAAAGGAAGTGGTTGTGACACACTCCATAATCCAATTGCAAAATTGAGTGAGAAAACCCACAACATTGAGCATCCAATCAAGAAATTCCCAGGACTCTAAGTCATAAGCCTTGTGGAGATCAATCTTAAGCAAGCACCTTGGGGATGTTCTTTTGCACGCATACTTTCGAATAAGCTCTTGGACAAGGAAAATGTTATCTATCATGTTCCTTTTCTTAATGAAAGCAGATTGAGCTTCATTTACAATCTTTTCCAGCACAGGAACAATTTTGTTAGCCAAGAGCTTTGCTGTGATTTTATACAGAATATTGCAACAAGCAATTGGTTTGAACTGGTTCACCTGGGAATCATTTTCGTATTTGGGAATGAGAGCCAATAGAGCATAGTTGACTTTCCTGAGTAGCTTGCCAGATATAAAAAATTCATTGATAGCCACATAAATGTCATCCCCAATGATATTCCAAGACTTTTTAAAGAAGAGGGCATTGAAACTATCAGGGCCAGAAGATTTATTACTGTCTATCCCAGCAACAATGTTCCAAACATCTTGTTTTGAAACTGGACCCTACAGAGATTCAAAATAACAAGGATCCACTTTTGAACTAGAATCACAAACAGAGTGGGAAGCTGTTGCAGTCTGCCTATAAGAGCCAAGGATATCCTTCAAATGGTTAACAAATTCATTGCCAATTTTTGTCTAAGATGAAGAGGATTGCCTATCTGATTTCCGAATGGCTGCAATAAATCTTCTGTTTCAGTTCCTCTTAATCAAAGCATGAAAAAATTTGGAGTACTTGTCAACTTGCAGAAGGTACCTATTTTTATCAAGCTGAGCAAATGTTCTTGTTTCTGCTTTTCTCAGCTGTATGGTAAAGCTTCTACAGAGATTCACTTAACCCAATTGGATATTATCATTTGGATTTTGCTAAGGATGAGGAGCTAACTATTATAATTAGCCTCAGCTTGAGCTACACGAGAAGATATGTTGCTAAACTCTTGCTTGTGAAGATTTTTCAGAGGGCACTTAGATTTAAGCTTCTTGCAGACATAGTACATTTTACAGCCAAGGTAAGCAATATGCCAATGCTCGGAAACAATGGCTGAAAAAGAAGCATGGTCAATAATAGCATTATTAAATTTAAATGGAGTGTTACCTCTCACGAAAGTCATATTAGTGATCACCAAAATAGAAGCGTGATCAGAGATTGATTCAATGTAATAAATCTCTGCAGAAGAGTGCTGAAATTGATTAATCCAATGATGGTTGCAAAGAACACGATCTAATTTACTCCAAACCCTCCCATTCGTCCAAGAGAATGAGGAACCATAACTGTTCAGACCCTCAAGAGCCAAAGCAAAGCAATAATTCGAGAAATCTTCATCTCATAAGCAGAAATGAGATTCTCATTGATTCTGTCTCAGGGAGATAGCACACTGTTAAAATCCCCCATCAAAAGCCAAAGGACATCAAGGGAAGAGCCTAGAGACATAAGACTGTCCCAAAGAGGTCTTCTAGCATTCACAGAATGAAGGTCATTTATAAATGAAATCTGGAATTGCTTGGTTGTAACTTTGCATCTGATGGCACAATGCATGATTTGGGTAGTGGCTTCTAACACAATGAGTTTCAATTTATCCGATTTCCATAAAAGCAGGATACGACCAACATTATGATGATCAAAATTATGGGCAAAGTCCTAATCAATGAGCTTTCTCTGCATAATCTCTAAAAGAGAAAAGGTATTAGGCTTTGTTTCTAAGATAGCCAAAACATCCACCCCTTCCTATTAAGAAAGTGTTTCATCCCTTGATACTTCAAAGGCAAGTGAAAGCCTCTGATATTCCAAGAAGAGATAATCATTTGGATTGACGGGACATTACCTCCCCAGCACATTTTGGATGTTTATTTTTTGCCCTTTCCTCTGGTTCTATTTGAACCTCTTTGTGGTGTTTACCTTTGTTGGTCAATGACTGAGACTTATGAGTTTTGTTTCGAGCCTTGGATTTTTGAGTTACAAAGCCTTCCTCAGTAGTTGTAGGCTGAATGGATCCAGCTTTGGGATCAGCCTCAGTGGATAACTGTTGTTGCTTGTGATTTTGGTCTAATGTAGTAACCTTAGCAGAGCTAGCTTGAATGGAAATAAGATTAGGATTCTTATTAGTTCCAATCAGTGTTGCTGGTTGGGAGAGTAATTCTTGACCTAGAGGAGGGATCTCTTTCTAGAGGAAGGCAGTGACAGAAATGGCTTTCTCTGCTACTTCAGGTTAGGATTTTTCCCTCCTCCTGAGGCTTTACATTTTTCAAGAACATGACCAATTATTTTGCAATCACTACAAAAAGAGGGTATGTTTTCATATTCAATCTTCTGGATACATGAGCGACCATTAGGAAGCTTGAATCGAACTTCATCTATGAGATCATAGGCTGCATCAATCTCAACAAGTTCTCTAGCAAAAGAAATGGAACCCATGGTGGCTGTAAGCTGGTTAGTGCGAAGTGGCTTTCCAACTCTTGATAATATCTTACCTAGAGCTTGAAATTCCAAAGCTCCAAAGGAAGATTTTGAAGTTTCACCCAAATTGGAATCCGACTAAGTTCCTCATTACGGAAATCAAAGAATGGTGGCATGATCTTCAGTAGTAAGAGACGCTGAAATATAAAATATGGCCCCTATGCCAACACCTTATTCATGCTATCCTCATCTTTGAATTTGAAAACCAGCCACCCACTCTCATGAACAAAATAAGAGAAAGGAACCTACTATTTCTCACAAGCTTCAAGGAAAGCTTTCTTACTTGGGAAACGACCAGTAACATATCCAATTAAGTTGTACCCCCGAGTCTCTTCAAGAGAATTAACATCTTGCATTTCAAGCAAGATTTCATCATCTGTAGAATCTGGAATATACTACAAAGAGAAACCTTTTGAGGGCTTCCTATTATCTTTGAAGAGATTTATCCAAGGGATGGAAGCAACATCATTTTTCTTCACTTGATGGCTTGGGTTATCAATAGGAGGAGGAATGTCCTAACCAATGATGGATGAGGAGTCTTCTTCAACAAATTCAGAATCCTCCTCCCCTAGAGTGCGTGAACCACTGTGAGAGTTTTTAACATTCAGTGTTTTCTAGGGTAATTTGTCGAACACCTACTG